CTATTTCGCTTTAGAGCGAGATTTTAACGAAGTAAGATAAGATTAAAATAAGATTTTTTTATCGATATAACGAAGTATTTCTATTATTTTCGTTAAGTCTATTAATTAGATTAGCTTAAAATTATTATTTTTATAAAATTTATTAATTAAATTTAATTAAATTTATTATTTTATAATATTTCTATAATATTCTTTTAAATATAATTTTATATATCTTTTAAGTATCTTATTAAGTATCTATATCTTATACTCTAATTTAAATTATAATATTATATTCTATATTCTATTTAGAGATATTTAAAATTTATTAAATTTATTAAAATAAATTTTAAAATTATAATTCTAGATTAAGATAAAATCGAGATTTTAAAAAAACTTAAAATCTTAATTTAAAATCTTATCTCTATCTTAACCTCTTTTTAAAATCTTATTAAGATTTTTTATCTTATTATATAGCGTATTTTATTCTTAATTTAAATATATTAATCTCTCTCGCTAAAAAATTATAAAATTAATTAAAATTCTATAAATTTTAAAAATAAAAATGAAAATAATTAATTTAAATTAACTTTTTATTAATTAAATCTAAATTAATTTAAAGTTAATTAAATTTTTAAAAAACTTATTATTAATATAAATTTTCTTTTTTCTATTAAAATATTTTAATTTTCTTTTTAATTTTTAATTTATAATTTATATTTTTAAGTAATAAAAAAGTAAGCTTTTTAATTAGCGCTTATAAAGTCTTTAATTAAAGCGAAATCGATTTAAAAACTATACGTTTAAAAGCTAATTAAATCTAAATCTATTTAAATAAAATTTAAAACTCGAAAAAACGATTTAGCTAATTAATATTTAATACTATATTATTAAAAGTAAATAATATTTAAAGAAATATATAGCTTATCGCTTTTTCTATATTCTTCCTTTTTAATATTTTTTCTATTAATAATTACGAAGTATAATTATCTATTTATTCTTTAATTCTTTTTTAATTATTCTAGAATTCTATTATTATTAAAATCTCGATCTTATAAAAAAAAGCTAAATATCTAATTAACTAATTCTCTCTTCGCTATTTTATTAATTCTTTTATTCTATAACGAGTAAATCTATAAAATAAATTTATAATTTTTTTTTAAATTTAAGCTATCGAGTAAATTTAATAAGCGATTCTTAATAAATAATATTTAAATATCTTATTTTTAGAGAATTATAAGATTACATTTTAAGATTTTTTTATATTTAGAAAGTATAAACTGCGGTCTATATATTAGTAGTAGCCTTTACGAAGGCTCTACGATAGCCCTATAAAGCCCTATAGAGGCTCTGCGAGTAGATATTTAGATTCAAATAGAGGTATCTAACTATCAAGCGCAGACACTCTCGAAATCAGCTTTTTAGCTGAGTTACTAACACTATAATTTGAAAAAAAGATTATTAATAATACGAAGATTAGAAATAGAACGTACATCAAGTACGTTTGAAGGGATTTCGAAAAAATACGAATACGAAATATCAGCACCCGAACGTACATCAAGTACGTTTGAAGAGATTTCGAAAAAATACGAATACGAAATATCAGCACCCGAACGTACATCAAGTACGTTTGAAGAGATTTCGAAAAAATACGAATACGAAATATCAGTACCCGAACGTACATCAAGTACGTTTGAAGAGATTTCGAAAAAATACGAATACGAAATATTAGTACCCGAACGTACATTAAGTACGTTTGAAGAGATTTCGAAAAAATACGAATACGAAATATTAGAACTAGAACGTACATTAAGTATATTTAAAGAGATTTCGAAAAAAGAAAATTATTAATAATACGAATATTAGAATTAGAACGTATATTAAGTAGATTTAAAGAGATTTCGAAAAAAAAGTTCTATAATTATTAAAGTGTAAGGAATTTAAATATCGCTTACTAAAGTTCGCTTATTAAAGATTACTTATCTATTTACTCGATACTTCTAATTAAAAAAAAATATAAATTTAATTTATAAGTCTTTACTCGTTCTTTTATTAGTATATATAAAAGAATAAGATAGAGCTAAGCTTAAAAATCTTGAATTTATATATATAGTTAATTATTAATTTAAGTTCTATACGCTTTTTAATTAGATCGGCTAAGTTAGCCCGATAGCCCTTCCGCGTCTTTCTTATTAAAAATTTATATATAGAAGTTTTACACTTTAAAGTACTCAGCTTACGATATATATAGTTACTTTATAATTCCTTAAATTATAAAACTCGCTTTACGCTTTCTAACGCTATAAAAATAATAAAGTTTAATCTACTATTAGTAAATTAAATAAATATTTAAATATAATAATTATAATAGTTATATTAGACGCGTTCGAGATCGAATAATAATAATCCTTCCACCTATTTATATAACTATTCTTCTTTTATTATTCTATTAATTCTATTAATTTTATTAATATAAATATAATCGTTCTCGATACCCCTCGCGGAAAGGTTACTTAACGTCTTAGATATATATACTCCTTTTATCCGCCTCTTAAAGCCTCTACTAACGCCTCTAGATCATCTCTCGGCGAATCCGCTACTGCTGATAATCGCTACCTACTAACTTACTACTTATAAACGCGTTAGAAGACCCTTAAAAAGAGTCTAAACGAATACGTTCTCCCCTATATACTCCTCTTAAGTTAGCGATAGATGAGTTAAACTAATATTTAAATATTATAATTATACTAAACGCGTTCGATTTAAGTATATATACTCTCTTTATTCGCCTCTTAGAGCTTCTACTAACGTCTCTAGACTATCTCTTAACGAATTTATTATTACTAGTAATTGAGGTCGTAAGTAAGCTTAATAGCTATCTACTACTACTTATAAACGAATTAGAAAACTCTTAAAAAGAGTCTAAACGAATATATTCTTCTCTATATACTTCTCTTAAGTTAGCGATAGATAAATTAAATTAATATTTAAATATTATAGTTATATTAAACGCGTTCGAGATTAAATAATAATTCTTTCATCTATTTATATAACTATTCTTCTTCTATTATTCTATTAATTCTATTAATTTCATTAATATAAATATATTTACCCTCGATACCCTCGCACTTAGTTAAATAAGAGAAGAATCTATAATAGGCGAATACGGAGAATACTATAAAGAATATTACGGAGATAGTTATTAGTAGTAATAATATAATAGATCTACTCTCTACGATCTTATATTAATCTATTTAGCTAGTATAAGAGAAATTAATATAATAGACGAATACGGAGAATACTACGAAGAATATTACGAAGATAGTTATTAGCAGTAGTAATATAATAGACTTACTCTTTATAATCTTATATTAATCTACTTAGCTAGTATAAGAGAAGTTAATATAGTAAGCGAATACGGAGAATATTGCGGAGAATATTGCGGAGATAGTTATTAGCAGCAGTGATATAATAGGCCTACTCTCTATGGTCTTATATTAATCTACTTACTTAGTGTAAGAGAAGTCAATATAGTAGGCGAATGCGGAGAATATTGCGGAGAAACTAAGCGGCAACAAGGCTCTCAGCATTAAGAACACGGCTTAGCTCTCCAGGATCCCACGTTATATGCTCTCCACGGTTCCACATCAAATCATTACTCAGCAAGCGGAGAACACCACTACAACTTAGCCTGTCATCCCCACTACATTAAGAAGTAAGAGGAGGAACTATAATAGGCAAATGCGGAGAACACTGCGGAGAAACCAAGCGGCAATAAGGCCCCCAGCACCAAGAACACGGCTTAGCTCTCCAAGATCCCACGTTATATACTCTCCACGGTTCCACATCAAATCATCACTTAGTAAGCGGAGAATACTACTATAACTTAGCCTATTATTCCCACTATATTAAGAAGTAAGAGGAGGAACTATAATAGATAAATGCGGAGAATACTACGGAGAACACTATGGAGAATACTGCGGAGAAATCAAGCGGCAATAAGGCCCTCAGCACTAAGAACACAGCTCAGCTCTTCAAGATCCCACGTTATATACTCTTCACGGTTTCATATTAAATCATTACTCAGTAAGCGAAGAACACTACTATAATTTAGCCTATCATCTCTACTATATTAAGGAGTAAGAGAAGGAACTATAATAGGTAAATGCGGAGAATACTACGGAGAAATCAAGCGGTAATAAGGCTACCATCGTTAAGAACACGGCTTAGCTCTTCAAGATCCCACGTTATATGCTCTCCACGGTTTCACATTAAATCATCACTCCGGAACGATGTATATTTAAATGAATTGAAACCGTCCGATGTCTACAGCTATTTTATTATTCGAAAAATTTTACTGCGGTAGAAGATATTGTGGGATTCACACCACTAATTAGCACGTTGTCTCTATTTCTTTTCGATATTTCGATACTTCTTACTATAAGAATATAACCTTTCTCTATTTTTTATAGGCAATTATTATACCTTCCTAATTAGGCCTTAGCGCGCCTCTCTTCGTATATATATATCTATATACTATATAGATTAAATTAATTTTATAATAATGAAAGTAGATTAAAAACGTATAGTAAGCGATTAGAGTTCGATTTAACTTAGGGCTAGAGCTAAAATTCGATTTAACTTAGAAAAATCCAACTTCATAAATTTAATTTATAGGCCTTTACTGTTCTTTTATATATATTAATATACTAATAAGAATTAGATTTTAAAGATTACAAATTCTAGTAGATTGTAAATCCTAGTGAATACGAGTATCTATATCGAATTTATCGGATTTAAGATCGTGCAAATAGGGGTAACGTGTAAATGAGGGTGGAAACGAGTAGATACGATTAGCAGAGTGATTTAGTTTCCGCCAAGGAGAGATATCGTCCTTGGCAACTATTGGCGACAACTGCCAAGGAGAAACCTTCACCTTGGCAACAATTGCCCACTCACTCAACCAGAGGAATCCGCCCATCGTTACTTCGTTTCATGTTTCTTGCAACCGCCTTTCCATTATGGATGTGACTGACGGCAAAGCGAGAAAACGGTCCAATCAACATACCGCCACTTCGCATTGCCCGCAGTGTGGTGTAGGCCGCAACGAATTCCACAAATCCAACAGACCAGGTCAAGGCCTATTCTCTAAACACTGCAGTCTTTGCCTAGGCAATGACCTAACCGGCAAACCTCGACATTTTGGGGAGTGCCTCATTTGCCATAAAGACGTCTCTCAAAGTTCATCCGAGGCAGTGTATAAACACTATCAAGAGAAGCACAACCAACTTCTCACTCAAGATCGGACCATTCACCACCTCCACCGCGAAGTATGTCCTGAAGACTATCCCGACCTAGACTTCAATCAGCATTACGGCCTACTGCTCACGCGTCAAAATTGCTTTCGAGATAAGATCAATAAGCCACTCACGGAGTATTGGCGCACGTTCGTTGGGACTCCAACCCTGATCTATAACGAGCTGCGCGACATTCGCGACCATTACCGCGAGGCCTTCTCCAACTTCTTTGGCGCAGACCCCATCACTTTGCACGGCCATGTCAGTGACGCAGCCAATCCTCTTCTCATAACAAGCCTGATCCAACATCTGAAGAACAACATCTCTCCGGAAGACTCGGAGAAGTCGGCGTATGACGCTTTCAAGCTCAGAAAGGAACAAACCCGGAGTCCCAACCTTGCAATCATGGAAGGTTCCTATGGCACGGGCTTTGGGCCGTTGGCATACAATGCGCCATGCCCCTGGTCATCCACTGTAGCGTGTGGCACAAAGCCAGTTGTGGTTCGTATGGGCTCCGGAGAGATCGACCAGCAGGTCAAACGCGCCAAAGCCAAGCACTGTGTTGCATTGCTTGTCGAAATTGTTCGAGCAAGGGACGGGTGCGTCATGACCGCAGAGCAATGGGAGATGACCGTGCAAGCGTGTCGGAAGCATCGTATGATCCTTATAGTCGATGAGGCTATGACCGCCATCAGATGCGGTGCCCCGTTTGCGCATCAATTACCCGAATACGAACGACACGGACGCCCAGACTTCATATTATTTGGCAAAGGCATTCGCACGAACGGCATTGCGATTGATTGGAAAGGCGTCAACGTCGGCATATTGAGAAAAATCACTGCGGAAGAGCAAGTCGACGTGGTAGTCATGTGGCAGAAGCGTTTTACAGAAATAGCGCCTCCGGAAATCCTACTTCAATCTTGGGGTATCATTGCTTTGGCGCAACAGCAAGACTGGCCTCAACGTTCGATTCGTATCGGCCAAACGTTACGCACAATCCTCATGAGCTTTGGCTTAAAAGCGACATCGATCTGGGGACTTCACAGCCTTATCTGGTTACGTCGTGGCGAAAGTGCTGTAGATGATTCAGCGGTGATGTCCGCGAATGCAGGACCGCATTACACGCGCTGGCTTCCGGTAATGGATACCGTAATGATGTCGGAGGAAGAAATGAGGAATAAAGTCTTTGGTCTGGGTAGTCTGACCCATCGGAGGCAAGTCGTGGAATATTTCCTCAACAAGGGTTGGTGGCTAGGGTACTGCTCTAGGTGTGGAGACACGATGGAGACGGGGGAAGATAGAGAAGGGGTGAGAGATAGATGCATGGTTTGTTTCGCAAGACCCTGTGAAGTGTGCGAGTCAGGTCCTCATAAATGTTTCGCGGTCGGAGTGGAAAGGCGAGGTTAGTTATGTATCATGGCAAGATAACGAAAAGACTTTTCGCCACAGCTTGACTGGGGGCTAGTGAGGGCACAGCACACTTATGGCAGGATAGCCGAGATTGCCATGTTGGAAGAGCCTTGAATAGGCCGTGTCCCCCCGTTTCTTGCTCCTCATTCTTGTTCCTCTCGTCGCAAGAAGAGATTTTTTTGGACTTTTCTCCTTCCTGACATCAGACGAAAGCAATTTCTTATTTGGAAAACAGATTATTTTTCTACTTATACTATTGCTATTCAGCCACTATTAATAGCCCTTAAGCGTTCTCGTAAGTCTATCGTAAAAGCCATAGCTATATATTAAGCTATCGCTACTAGATTATCACCTTTATAAAAATCATCTATTAAATTTATAAGAGAGCCCTCTAATGAATTCTTACTCTTCTCTATTCTTACTATATCTTTTATTCGCTAGTTAAATTCTTTAATAGAATTACTTACCTTATTAAACTTAATCTCTAATTTTTATATCGCTTAATTATAATTAATTTATTAGAAACTTAAATGGGAATAAATCGATGAAAATAGTATACTTTAAGATCGAGATAAATTTATATATATATAGAATAAGGTTAATGAGATCTATACTCGTCGCTAGTCGATTATCTTTATTATATATTAATCTATACTCTAAGCTTCTATATTATTAATCTATTAGTTATTTCTCTTTACTCTATCTCTTTAATTATTATCTATATCTCTCTAGACTCTATAATTAACTTTAATTCTACTATAGTAGAGAACGCTAATACTATCTAAGACGAAAGTAATATTATATTACTTCTTTTTATATTAAGATAATAATTCTATAATAATCTCTCTTCTTCTTTATTTTAAAGTAATAAATTTAAAATATATTAAATAAATCTATTATAAGATATTTAATATTAAATATCTTAATAAGCTATTTAATAGCTTTATTAATCGTATCGCTAACGATAATAAAAAGACTAAGAAACTTAAGAAGCTTCTTCGATACTTCGAGGTTTATAATTAAATTATATATTTCTTTATCTATAAAATAATCGCTTTATCTTTTTAAAAAGTCCTATCGAATTATCGCTACTATATTTCTAATCTATTAACTATCTATATCTTTTAATTAATATACTATTTTTATAAGATCTTCGTCTATAATAGAATTTAGCTTTATTAAGATAATATCTATATATAGCGAATATTCGATAATTACTTAGAAAATCGAGTCTTAAAATAGCGACCTCTATCTATTTAACTAGAAGTTTACTTATTATATAATCTACGCCCGAGTTAGACTTTACCCCAGATATATTATAATATTACTTTTATATCTTCTTATTAAAATATCTAAAACTCTTAATCGTTTTATTATAATCGATTTAATTATAATAAATTCTATAATCCTCGAGACTATCGCTAATTATATTCTTCTATTAACTATATTAATAAAATCTTCGCTAATACTACTTCGCTAGATATAAGACTCTCTTTTATCTCTTAACTATAACTAATATCGAGGGGTTTTAAATTAATAGTCGAGTTATTTTTATATATACTTATCTCGCTAAGTAAGTCTATACTAAAAAGATATAATCTATTAAAGAAAGACGACTAAAAGAAATAACTTAAGAATTATCTCGATTAGATATTCGCTAATATCTTACTTATAATTATCGTCTACGACGTTAAAATAGACTATTAAGATCTTAGTTAATTATTATTAAATAAATTCTATTCTAATATTACTATAATACTCGAAATACTATTTAAAGATCTTTAAAAGTAGAAAGAGAATAATCGTCTAATACGATTAGATATAGAATTCTTAAAATACTTTATTTCGTTTTTATTAGATCTTATCCCGAAGTATAATAACGATTAAAGAAGAATTTATAATCTTTTCTTTTTACGATTATAATTCATTAATTATTATATTTACGAGATTTATAGAGTACTCGAGTATATTATATTAAATAATATTATCGATACTTTACTCGTCTAGAGTAAGAATATAATTATAATTAAGCGAGACCTCGTTAATATATTTAGATATATCTCTATAGTCGAATCGAACTTTTAGCTATTAGATTTCTTTTAAAATAGCTTCTATTATATCGATAGATTCTTATTATTTAACTTATATATCGTATTCTTTATTTTTAATCTATTCGCTAAGGTCCTTTATTAAATACTTATTATTATTCTATTCTAGAGTATCGTTTTCTACTATCTAGATAACTTCTTCGCTATTCTTTCGTCTAACGACGATATAAGTTAATTTAATAATAACTTTAATATTATCTATAATAATTATAATCTAAAGATAAATTATATTAAGAATAAGAAAGGTACTTTTATCGAATTTTTAGAAATTTAATTCGATAGTAAGAAGATAAAGATTAGGCTCTCTTTTAATAAGCTAGAATAAATAAGAAAGTCGATAAAAGCTCTTTTAAATAGGCGGAGTATTTTTTATAACAAGCTTAAGTTAGCGATAAATCTATTATCCTTCTTCGTTAAAGTAATAATTTCTAATAAAACTTTTCTAAGAAGGCTCTACTTTATACTATTTAAAAAATAAGAATATTACTATATTATTATTATAATTATAACGAATCTACGCTAGTAAAATATCTTTCTATCTAGATAAAATAAGATATAACTACTTTATCGTATAGTTATATATTACTACTATTTTATATAAATAAATACTTTTAATAAGTATAAAATAAGAGGGTATATTCTCGAGAATATCGTTATTTATTTTAAACTAGACGATACGTTTAATATATACTTCGCTACTCGCTATTATAAGAAGAATATCTAATTTAAAAAAATACTTATCGTTTTTATAATTATTTATAAATAACTATCTTATTTATATTAATTATATCTTATACTCTACTATAATAATAATATCGTTATTAAGAATATTAATAGTAATTCTATACGCGGGCCGGCTATAGTATCGCTTAGATAAATAGTTATACTATTCGCTCGATACGATATTATTTATAATATAATTTAAATTTCTATTAAGTAGAATACTTTAGTCGACTTATTCTCTCGCTTTAAATTTAATAAAATTACTAATTTATATTTATAGCTAAACGCTTTAAGTCTATATAGAAATTATTAAGTCGCGATTTATCTAAATTATAATATAAGAAGACTTCTCTAAATCGTAATATTGCGAGATATCTCTAGTAAAGTCTAATTAATAAAATTAAAAATAGCTATTAAATAGCGAAGACCTTCTATATTAAATTTTATATCTTATTAAAAACTATTATATTTCTTATTACTATTTAATTACTTATCGATTAAATAGTATATCTAATTAATTATTATATTTAGATTAAATCTATTAAGATCTATCTTATAGACGTTTATTTAGCCTACGTAGATATAGAATTCGAGAATCTCGAGATCTTTTACTATCTACTATTATAGCGAGTAATCGCCGATATTTATAAACTATATAACGAGATCGATATTAAAGAATATCGTCTAATTACGCGAGATTTACTACTTTATATTCTTATTTAATTTAATAAAACTTCTCTAAAGAAAGCTATCTTATATACTTTCTTTTATCTTATTAGTATATATAATAGAATAAGATAAAACTAAGCTTAAAAATCTTAAATTTATATATATAGTTAATTATAAATTCGAGTTCGCTATATCCTTTAATTAAATCGACTAAATAATTCTCTTAACTTTCTTATTAAAAATTTATATATAGAAGTTTTATACTTTAAAGTACTTAGCTTACGATATATATAGTTATTTTATAATTTCTTAAATTATAAAGCTCGCTTTACGCTTTCTAACGCTATAAAAATTATAAAGTTTAATCTACTATTAGTGAATTAAATAGATATTTAAATATAATAGTTATAGTAATTATACTAGACGCGTTCGAGATTAAATAGTTATCCTTTTATCTATTTATATAACTATTATTCTTTTATTAATCTATTAATTCTATTAATTCTATTAATATAAATATAATCGTTTTCGATACCCCTTATCTAAAGGTTACTTAATATTTTAAATATATATATCTCTTTTTTTCGCCTCTTAGAGTCTTTACTAACGCTCTTAAGTTATCTTTTAACGAATTCGCTATTACTAATAATCGAGATTATAAGCGAGTTTAATAGCTATTTACTACTACTTATAAATATATTAAAAGATTCTTAAAAAGAGCTCGAACGAATATATTCTTTTCTATATACTTCTTTTAAGCTAGCGATAAATAAATTAAATTAATATTTAAATATTATAGTTATATTAAACGCGTTCGAGATTAAATAATAATCCTTTTATCTATTTATATAATTATTCTTCTTTTATTATTCTATTAATTCTATTAATTCTACTAATTTCATTAATATAAATATATTTATTCTCGATATCCTCGTACTTAGTTAAATAAGAGAAGAATTTATAATAGACGAATACGAAGAATATTACGAAGAATATTACGAAGAATATTACGAAGATAGTTATTAATAGTAGTAATATAATAGATTTACTCTCTACGATCTTATATTAATCTACTTAATTGATATAAGAGAAGTTAATATAATAAGCGAATACGGAGAATATTACGAAGAAATTAAGCGGTAATAAGATTCTTAGTATTAAAAATACGACTTAGCTCTTTAAGATTCTACGTTATATACTCTTTACGATTTTATATTAAATTATTACTTAGTAAGCGAAGAATACTATTATAATTTAATTTATTATTTCTATTATATTAATATAGTATATTACTATAATAACGTTATAAGAGAAGAATTTATTATAACGATTATAGTTAATTAGGCCTCTATAGAAGAAATATCGAACGATATATATTTAAACGAATTAAAATCGTTCGATATTTTACTTTAATAGCTATTTTATTATTCGAAAGATTTTACTATAATAGAAGATAATGTAGAATTTATATTACTAATTAATATATTATCTTTATTT